CTACTTACACTTGAGCAGTAACCTTTCCTTTCATCCCTAAAAGTGTGCCAAGATCTACTGGGAGGCTGTTATTTTGGAAATACATACATTCAGCACTGCGGAGGCAAAGAGAGGATGATAGGGAAGGGTGGCATTTTTCCAGTGGCAGAAAGGAAAACCTTGCTGAGACCTGAGCGGTGACATGGAGGAAATACCGGCCTGAACATAAATCAGGGAGCTGCTCTAAGTTAAATGCCATTCAAAGGCTAAAAAGCTCTGAGATCAGCAGTGTTAAGTCGCATCCATATCTTTAGATTATCCCAGTTTAAAATAAAAATGACTACTCATTGTGGTTAACGCTCAGAGTAATACGACCACCGCTGGTCACCGTGGTTTGCACAAGACTGGGTGGCCAGCTTCTCACCCAGGAAAGCTATAGCAGACCAGCCATCTTTGGACTCAAATCAAGCTCCAAACAGTTTTCTGCTCTAACCTGAAGACACGCGTGAAGACATGGTTTGGATGACATCCTAAGCCACAGTTTACCCCTCTGTGCGGTTCAAGAGACACAACAATTCTGCAGCCCTACGTGTGCGCCTCAACATGGAGTGGTCATCCCAGCTCAGCCATACACTAACACTTTACAGTCTTCACCCCAAGGCAGCGAGGGAGGAATATTTTTTGGTGCCAGGATTGGTGCCCAGTACATCCTAAGGCTCTGCTCTTCCTTGTCACCACCTATGCGCAAACGCAACAGGAAGAGGGTCCTCCTTGATCCACCAAAAACACCAGCGACCTCAAGTTGTGAGTCTCATCCCTTCTGCATCTGGTCTCCAAGCTGGCAGTGGTATTTTTAGATGGGTGATGAATAGGTGTGTTGGGGTGTTATGCAGTTAAATATAACATAAACGTTTGTGGATTGCAAACATGCATATAAAGAAGTTAGGAAAAATATTCAAAGATCAAAATGCAGTATCATGGGATCTCTCAACAGCTCTCCCTAATATTCCTCTCTTCTTTTATTCAGTCTACTTATTTTTCCCTGTCTGAAGGGGGGAGGAAGTAAAAGAGAAGAACTAGAAATCTAGAAAATTCCCCAAACTTTCTGAAAAAAAAATAAACAGACCTATTCCCCTTCTCCTCTAGGTCTGGTCTCCTCTGGTCTGGAAACTTTAGGAAAAACTGGAAAAAATCCCAAAACAACAACCCCAAAGAAGTCTTGTGAACTATTTTCTCTAAGATTAAACAGAGAAATACTGCCAGGTTACTGTTTAAAATCCTATTATTTTTTGCTGTGCTTCAGTTCTTCCCAATGTTCTCTATATAATAAGCATTTCAAATGAAATTACATTATTTTAAAACACACTGTAGTAGGCAATTACAATTCCTGAATACTAAATGCCAATATAACATAGGCCAAATTTATTGTTGTTCCTTAACTTTGTGCCATGTTCATTATATTTTAATGAATAAGGTTTCACATTAATTTTTTCAAGCCTTTTCCTTGGAATCGCGCATTACTGCTGTAATTGCGTTGCAGAATTAGGTCTCTATTTACATTCTCCTCCTAAGTCCTGGAGACAAAACCTTGCTTTGATTTTTCCCTTAAGTCAGCAACACCTCCTCCTCTTCCTATTTTCGGGAGAGTACCCCAGGGCCAGTGGCACTACTTTGCGCTGCTGCCGCCAGGCAGGGCAGGGCCATCCCAGCGACGACCAGCACCTGCTGCCTGCTAAGCCGGGGAGATGAGAGCAGAAGCATGAGGCAAAGCAGGGTTTCGGGGGGACTGGAGCAGCACCTGCGAGTCCGGTTGCACCTGCCCAGTCACGAGGACCCCTCAAAGGCAGCCCAGGCCGACCTCCTCTTCTGCAGCACCCCCAGAGGGTGCTGCCCTCCCTCTACGGTTGTGCCCACCATCCCACTTTTCCCCAATCTTCTCTCACTTCTTTCACCCCCCGGGGAGACACAGCTTGCCCAAACTCTCTTTTCTAATACACTGACAGCATTCGTGAACAAATTAAGGGGGCAGACGAACGAGGGCATCACGTGTAGGGCAAGGTGAATGTACCACAAGACGTGAGGCTTTTCACCTTGGGAATCTCTTTTCCACCTGGGACAGACACAAAGACCGTGAAGAAACTAAGAAGATTTGAGCTGAAATACAGGCACTGGGCAGCAAACGGGTCCCGTTTGCCAGCTGTCATCTTCCACAGGACAGATTCGATTTCCCATCTCAAAGCCTCCAGCAGCTCGGCAGCTGGCCATGTCGCTGCGTGCAAGGATGCTGGGCAGAACCGAGAGCAGGAGAAACCTCTCCTCTGTAAGCAGGCGTTCTTTAATTCTAGTTATTCTGCATATTTGCAATACTTTAATTATTAATGTTGATAAACTACAGGAAATCTCATTCAATTAGAATTGCTTTTTTATTTCCCTCTGAGATAAAATTAAATCACTTTATTGCAAGATCCCTCTTTGCCCTTGTCTTTTGCGCTCTTATGAAGAACACAGAAATGAAGACCTGGCTCCTGGGATATTGCAAGTGAGTGGGACATTGTGGACACATGCTTAGGGACTGCCCACTCTGATGGTCAAGCTTTTGTCTTTGCCACTCATTCCTGGTTGCCATCTCCTCCTCCTCCCTTCACAAGTGCTATCCTCTTAATGCCCTCCTAATCAGAAAGTCTCCCCCACCACCTTTATTAATCCCGACAAAAAGCAAGGGCTTTCACGTACCTAACCTTTTCCTCATATCCCACTTTCTCCATATCCTCTTCCCTCTCCACAACACCACTTCTAAAGCTCTCCATCCCACTCACACCACCAAGGCAATGATAAATCCTCCTTCACCTACTCCCTCCCCACCAACGCACCCTGATCCCCAGGTGTTCCCCCCTGGCTTCTCCCCGCCGCTCAGTGTTTCTGCCCCCACACTGAGGTTCCCCAGCTTCCCTCTGCGGCAGAAGCTCTGCTGTAACCTCCAGGTCACAGCCTCTGCTGATGCCAGAGACAGATACAGAAGCACTGAACAAAGAGCAAACCCCCTTGTACCTCCCACCCCTCCGTCTTCCTTCCATTTTAGGATTTTCCCCCAAATCCATAGGGTTCTACCCACCAACACACCATGCCTCCCTCCACGTTTCACAATTCAGTTTTTAACTCCGCACCAGCAGTGCTCTATGGCAATGATTTCTACCCAACTGAGCATCAAGCCTTGCAAGCCTTGCCAACTACCACTCCTCCTACTGCTTCTTCCCCGACATGTATCTGCTTGCAGCGGCTGCGGAGGTACCCTCGATGGTTGTCCAGAGGGCTTTCTGGAGGGCTACCAGCGTGCTGGAGGTGCCAACCTCTCTCTGACAGCTGCATCTAACTCCCACTGATGCACACTTTTCTTTGAGTTGGCCACCCTGAAGAGTGTTTTGCCTGTGTTTGCAGTCAACAGACATATAGAGACGAAACCCTATCAACCAAGCATTTGAATCTGAGGTAGGGCTACTCAGAGATGGTAGATTTCTGGAAATCAAATTTAAAAAGGGCTGGGCAGGGGCTAATTAAGGAGTCTGGCTTTTTGGGTTGCGTACAGAGGTTCCAAAAAATCAAGAATGAAAAAACAAACCCTGAAATATCCACAGATTATTTATTAAAACACAACCATATGTACTTTAAGGAAGAGAGCTGTCTCATACATAATTTAGTTGGCACACAGACAGTACTGTTGTGTGTTTCATGTGCATGAAATAAATAAGCATAAAATACTTAATTTGAATAACACCAAACACCTGATTCCAGAGACGGAGCAACACTTCACGCTAAGGCATGTAAGTGCTCTTGGCTTGTTGACGTTTCACCAGAGCAGAGAAAAATTAGCAAGCTGAAAACAGAAATTCATTTTGTGGTTTGCAGACAAACATCCATGGTGCGTTCACATGGCTCATGAACGGCACGTAAACTAAGCCCTGATGATATGGTGAAGCTACAGAGGAGACTCCCATTGCTACAGAGAAAGCCAGGAAAATGAACAGGAGATCCCTATTCATGTTCTTTACAACCCAGAATTCAGTAGTAAGAACAACAGTAAGATGGGCTGCGTGTATCTTCATAGATTTGAGTCTTTTCAATTTCTCCTCAAAACTTCGTAACAGACCTCAGGAAATAAAATACTTGACAGTATTTCTAACAGACCTCAGAAAAAAACCCCTTTGTTGACTGAGCATTTCTGTTTCCCTGTTTCCCCCCCCATAGCTTCATATCTCTAACTACACCATAAATGTGATTGGAAGGCTTCTCTCAATTAAAAAAAAAATTTTAAAAGGCACTTGTGGTAACTTTATCTCCACGTCACATGAGGATTCACATGGCATTTGCCTCCTACAGTTTATCTGTGCTGAAACCAAAGCATTCAGATTTTGACAGGTATCATAGGTTCTCACATTTCCCAAAAAGTGTTTTGATTAATAGCAAATAATTTATCTTCCAGGCACAAATTCCTCTGGTGCAGGTTTGAGTTGTGGTTCTTTCCTCTGCTGGAACTGAAGAAGTAAAGGCAGGGTAAAGGACCCTCTCTAAACACAGGTAGAACTAGCTCTGCTTTAAATTTGTGACAATATTTCCTTCACTTATTGCAGCCTTCAGCTTTTTGCTTGCCAATCTCAAAACAGGCATCCCAGTGAAATGAGACAGGATACCAATATGACAGCCATTTGCAAGTCTGGCCAAGCTCTGAGGTGCTCTCAAACACAACATAGGGAAGATGAAATAAAGCATGTTTCACTATGAAAAATGAGAGCAGCATATCCAATCAAGTCATAGGTATGGCTATGAGACTGCAGGAGACTTCTCTCCTCCTATGGCTTCAGCTTCTGGACTGGCCATGGGGCATAAACATGGCTAGATCTGCCCCGACCTCTCCTTCAACATCACACACGTCCCCTCATGCCTCCTCTGCACAACCAGGCAGTGCGATTGGCTTTGCTATACTTTGAGGAAAGAAACCCAATCATTATCAACAGCCTTGTACTTACTGAGTTCAGCAATGCTCCCCACGCGCGTAGCAAGTAAAGACTGCTCGATGGTCCTCAGCTCTGACTGGCTGAACATCTGCACTTCCCCAGGCTTGTTTGACCTTTGCTGGTCTTTGTGAAGGTTCAAGCTGTCCGGCAGGCAGAGAACACCTACAGTGGATAAAAAGAAAGGAGAAGTCCAATGTAATTTCAGCCAGTATGGATGACTTTGCTGCCACCACCACATCATTTAGGGGACATTCCAAGACGCAGCCTGTGTGTGCAGAGCTCAAAGACAATCAATACCTATAACTCAATGTCACAGATGACTCATGCTCTCAGAAGTGGCCCCCGTTAACTCTTCTGAATATCCTCAAGTCACTTACGATGTCACTTAGGGATAATTCTTACAGAAAATCCTAGAGACTTGCCCAAGGAGGAGGTCAAGAGGGTTCCAAAGAAGCCTCCTGGAAACTACTCCAAAATCGTACAAATTTATTAGAAAATGGCATCTCAGCAACAGAATTCTTAAAGATTGGATTTAAAATGATATATGAGTGAGATGATACATTTACAGGATTTTCCTGTAAGGGGAACTCCACTGACAATTGCCAAAATAATGGACAGCATCAAGATGCTCGCGGTGTCATTGATGGGCTTATTGAATTTCTTTTGTAAATACAACTCCTGGCAATGGAACTGTTTGGGCTTCAAAAGCCCATTATGCAGAAGCCCTTACAGCTGTGAATTTTTGTGGGGCAGGGCATAAGTAAAGCTACTGACATAAAATAACTTACATACACATTCATTCAGGCACAAGTGTCACTTTCTGCCATGACATCTGAACGCTCAGAAGTAGATAGAAGGCACACGTTTATTCATCAAAATCACTGCCATGCTGAAAAACAGAACTTGCTCACAAGACCAAACGCTGCATTACCATCCCTGGGTAACAGATGCATGGAAGTCCAGCTTGGAGAGCAAGGTCCTCTCCCTTCCTGTGGTCTATAAACAGCCAGCTATGGCCATGCTCTCCAGGGCATCACCTTCCCAATCCTGCTGAGACACACACAGGTGGAGACCCACTGGAGGCAGTGGAACTGTACCTCTTTATGATGACCAAATTTCATCTTATCTCAGATTGTGTGATATGCAACAATTACCTTTGAAAAGAAGCCAGAGCAGGAAATATATTTTTTTCATTAGCTTTTACTGTTCCTTCCTTTTAAGCAAAGGGGAGAGGTTCTGCCCTTATGGGCCAAGCAGACTTTACAAACACATTAAGTAAGAGGTACATATTCAGCGTTTTTCTTCAGGGGGAAGAACTTACTTCATCTCCCAGCTCAGTAAACATATGGCATCTAACTCTACCGATCAATAATTCTGCCAACAGGTATAACATGGCAGGTCCTGGGCAGAATGTCTACCTTAACCCCTCTTTACTTCAGTTATAAAACACACCCCACAGATGTCACTGCTTTGGAGCACTACAAGACCAGGCAACGTGCCTGAGAGGGGACGTTTCTCAGCCACCTTGTTAGCTCCACCAAACTGCTTTGGATTCCCTCCTCACATCCATCTTCTCCCTGCAAACAGTTTAGTCTAAAAGTTGTATTAGACTTTTAGATTAAAAGCACAGACCTAAAAACATCCCACCCTGGGAGAAGAGAGGCGACGCAGGTTCAGTGAGCACATTCAAAACAAAAAGCGGGGGTATATGTTGGGAATATCGGGACCAAAGGTCTTGTCCACCATTGCTGTAAGAGAGCAACCTACACCAGGATCGCCCTCTGCATGCAACAGCAACACCAGAACAAGTTCCTAATAGCCTGTTTGAACGCGGGAGATAGAGGAGCAGGAGCAGCCGTAATCCCAGCCCTGGCTCCGGTCCCAGGGTTGTAACAACCACAGTAAAACCGCATGCACGTGTGGAAGGTCATGAGCAAGGAACAGACTCACGAGGAAGAGCCCTGGAGAGAAAGAGCAGGACATCTGACACAGCAACAGGGAGAAACCAACTAAAAGCAGAGAGGTAAGGGATAAAAAGCGACAACAGCTTATCAAACAAGCTCTCCAAATTCTCCTGCCATTGCTCAGTGGCTGACTTGCATAAATACTTGGCACACTGATCAACATTTATATTCTGGGGATGTATGGAGCTCAAGAAGTACAACACCTGGATTTAAAATGCAGACTTGCCTGCATATTTTAATAAGTATCCTCTCTTGGAAATCTTTCTCATTTATTTAGATTATTCTTTATAATTTTAATGGATAGAAATTAAGGCAAAATTGGAAGTGTCTTCCCTGCAGAAAACAGATGTATAACTGATCTAATACTCAAAGAGATTTCTAAAAACAAGAAACAGAGCCCAAACAGCTTTATGGCATCTTTAAAAGAATGAATATCCAACAAGAAAATCTTTTTCAGTGAAAACACACCTTAAGTGTGGAAAAAAATACTGGTTTAAGATACCTTTAACAAATAAGATTCAAATGGTTTAAAATCATAATTTGTAGAAGAGATATTTATCCAAGTGATTAAAGCAGTGGGATGTAGACATTTTATTCTCTACTTTGCCTATGCCTCTGTTCCCACAGCCGGGCTTTTTCCTTGAAAACAGCCCTGATGATTAATTACTCTGTTCTTTAGCGAAGGGAGTGTATTCTTAGGTTCTTGGATGAAAAGCGCGAATGAAATGCAAAATGCGCCATTGTTCGAAAACTTAGCAAATTATAGGATATGTCACGCCAAGGGGTTTAGTTGGGTTGGAGATTAGTAAAGGCATGCAATAACCAAACATCTGATATTTATATGCCAGCTTCAAAACTATAATTGACCACAGTGGGTGACCAGTAGGGTGATGGAAGATTGTTTGTAACTCTCATAATCTTGCTGTATCAGATCTGGTTTTTGCCAGTATGGAGAAAGGGAATTCTATGGCTCCGGCATGCAACTCTGCCAATTTTCTAACTTCAACTGTTTTCCCCAAAAACGATTAAAGAAAAGTGAATAAAATGCCTTTTAGAAGAACAAACCACTCTCTTTTTATCAGCATTTGATGTAAAGCTCAAACTCACTGTTGAAAGACTATGGCAGGGAATTGCTCCCCGTCAAGAAGAGAGCACACCAAGGGAGGACAAAAAAGGGAAAAACTTTGTGATTATAAGTATCTTTTTTTATAAATAGAAACATTCAAATAGCCACCACCAGCTTTTACTGGTTTGGCTACAGTTCAACTTCCTTATTTTAACTCTCTGCGGATTGGTATTATCTGCTTGCTTTTTCAGCTGTGTCTTCAGCTGTACTGTGCTGAACTTGACAAACAGGTGAGGACCTCAAGTTTCCAATGGCCTGAAAAATGGGACTGTTTTTCTGTTGCTTTTCTGGCTGTTGAGGCAAATGCTATCTGTCATTCCATACTAAATATTTCTGTGCAGTATCTTCAGAAATGAACGGCAGTATCTGTCTTTTCTCTCAACCGGCACTGTTCCACATACTTCCTTTCTGCACGGTTACTCAACCCTGCGCACTTCTTTGCCCATTATTTTATCTCTCTTCTTCCCTCCGATTCACTAGAGTGGAAATTAAGCAGTCAGTTGTTGCTGAATGAATATGGGGCCAGACTCATGCAGTACACCCCTGGCTGCTCTGTGCCACCCGGCAATGTATCGCAGCCGTACGTTGCATCTGTGACTGATGTGAACCACTGGAGCAAGGCGAGATAACCAAAGCTCTCAACTGCATTTGGACTTCGTCACCTCTTTCGGTGTTTTCCCTTTTTTGTACCCTCCTTGGGGCAGGGATCTCTCTAGGATCTACAAGGAGACATATCCAGAATGGGCCATACCCAAAATTGCTTTATTCACTTTGCCCTTGGCCTCAGGGTGCCCTGCAGTCTGTAGGTGAAAGACTGAAGAGAAATGCAGAAAACACATTTTAAAATCAGCAGGATGCCAGAAAAAAATCGCAGTGACAAGCTCCTAATGCTCCTCCTCCCAAATCTCTAGAGAAAAAACAACATCATGGGGCAAATCCGATGTATAATTAATACACTCCACATTCTTCCTGCCCTCTGGGCTCAGCTTAAACACAAGCCAGAGCTCAATCCCCAAGGACTTAAAAATCCCAAACCAAAGGAGTATTGCACAAAATGAGAAAGTGAAGACTGAAGATGCTCAAACTTATAAAAGAAACAGTTATTTTAAAACTTCATGCAAGCTCATCCAAAGCCAGGGGTACCTGGTAACTCTATTCCAGTTTCCCCATGCACATTCCCACCTCTTGGGCTTGGTTGATGCACAACCCTCCATTGCAAGGCAGATTTTGGCACAGATATACATACATTCCTGCATACTCACTTCAGAGCTAGCCACAGAGCTGCCTGTGCTGTCCTTTTAGTGTGACAGAAGAACCGTGCATGCCTCACACAAACATCCCAAACTCAGCGCTCAGCAGCAGCCACGGCAGGGCTCGTCCCTGCTACTCAGTGCCTCCCCAGCAAAACAGCCTGAAGGACCTGATGGCCAAGAGCAACTCCAACACCAGACACGGCAGCCGTTGTGTGACCTCTTTGGCTTTCCAGGCAGGAGAAATACAGGGCTTGTAGCCCAAATCTCACCTAAATACAGAGGAATCATTAAAAAAATCTCAGCCCCCTCCACTGTTCCTCTATTTAGACAGGTATCTGCATTTATTTATATACCAGCTGTTGCAAAACATTTGATTGCTGAAGTGCTGGCGCCTATGGTGCCCATACTCCAGGACCAGCAGTTGGACTTTACTTTCTCTCAGGCATAGGAGGCTCCTGGCTTTCCATGGACCATGTATTGCTGTTGGCAACACACAGCTATTTGCATCGTGCAAAGGCAGATCAAAGGGCAAAACAGCAAAAAATAAGACAAGCAATCTTTTGTATACCAGCATGAATGACTACACAATGCGGAAAGCAATAAAACGGCAAGTCTTCTTATTGGAATGGGCAGTGCAGTTCTGGGCAAGGCTGTGTTGCACCCTCAAACATCCCATAGTTCGGTCTCAAACCAGCTTTGCCACCTAAAGCAGCATTTTCAACAGTGAGTCCATCTCAGAAAAAAGAGAATGAGAGAAATATAGAACTTAAACTTGCAGTTCCAGTTAGTGCAGGTCCAAAGTTACTGCTCCAACCTTCC